GGATTCTGATTGCTTCTGCTTCTGGCTCTGACTATATAGAAGCTTGTGGCATAGACAGAGAATTCAGACGGTTCGTCCTATTCGCATTCAAACTAGAATCAGTATGTTTTTTTCTGTTTTGTTTCTTGCTTTGCTTCTTCCTCTTGTGCGCCCTCTCCCATCTCCGATCTTCTGGACTACGTCTTGACGTCAATAGATAACGTAGGTGCATCGTGACTCTACTCACACTGTAATCCAACGTAAGTCCCCGTCCCTGTACCACCCAGCTGTGAAGCGCACGATGGACCTAAACGCAAACGACGGTCGAACTGTAATGCTTCTCTCTGAAAGCTGATAGCTGACACAAAGTGATGGATCAGATACTCGATTTCCACCATAAACCGAGTCTTCTCGAGCTGTGATTGGGGCAAAATTGGCTGCTGGTGGCTGAAAGCTGCAAAATATCTCGTGAATCGCTGCAGAATATTGTCGTTTCATCTACATTACTGGGTGTTTGCTGTTATGCGACCACCCACTAATGAGCCGAACACCTCACAGTTGTATCATACAGCTACAGAATATAGGGGAAACACTGGTCCGTACTTTCAGCTAGCACTGACTGCTGTGTGTATGCTTACTCATGCGACATTTTTAGACTACTGGCTGCCTGTTGGCAGTTTATGAGTATTACTAGTTTATCCCGCTGTACATGATGGATTTCGAATCAAAACCTTCGGACTGAGCCTATAAAGCTTTATTCCGACGGAATTACTCAATGTTAGCGATAATTTTTCGAGTAGATTAAAAAGGCTAACATTTCCAAATAGGAGTATCGACCAGAAAACAAAGGGGTTACGCAAGTGGAGACTTTGGTTAGCCGAACCTCTGGTATTTATGTCATTAAGCGGCAGAATGTCGGTAGAACACGTGTCTGGGCTTACAGTTAGTACTGACGCTGTTAGTGCGGTAAACCATACAGAATTTATACCCTACTCGTGCTACGCGGCTACTTCTACTCTATTCGTTGCCCTTTTAGCATTGCAGCTAAATAGTTCTCTTTCCCCCTTCTTTTCTTTTGTTGCACACTTCATTTTTTTATTATTCTTCAGACTATTTTTCTGCTTTTCCCTTGCTTTTTTTTATCTCAACACCAGCTTCCTTATTCCCGTTATTTTTTCTCACAATCAGCCTCCTTTCTTCTAAAGTCGGAAATCCTTCATCCTCTTCTCATAAAGTTCCCTCATTTCTACTTTACGGTTACCGATATGAGAACAATGACAGTGGCATGACACAGTCGTGTTGTGCATTCACATTGCAACCGCGAGCCTAGTAAAGTAAAATACCAGCCTGGTGATGCACGACTAAAACAGCGGCAGTCTTGGCAGTCGGACATCAAAGCGCTAGAGGACGGCAAGTTCCGCCATCACCATCATCATCATTAGAGGCGACTGAGAAGCGGTTAAAACAGCCAAGAGGACGCAACTAGTCAGCAGAGTTGCGCCGCTGCACCAATGGCCTGCTCGCACTCGCATATCTGAGACAAATAAATCAAAGTACTTTGTGGCGCCGTCATATTCGTCAGACTCGCCCAGTCGCCAAGGTATTTTTTTACTCCCGCCCTCTCCCTGCATCTGTTGCACCAGTACACAAAATCGACCTACAAACAGAATGCAGACAACAGCTCATCCACCATTTGGCCCGTAGGACAAACCAGGACCATAACCCCATCCCTCTCCTCTTTGGCCAAGAATCGAAGACAAGCCCTAAGCTGCTGCCATCACTACACCGAGTTAGCAAACATCTCTTCCTTTGTTCAGGTTAACTGTTCGTCAAGCCGTCTGTGGGTCTCGAAATTTCTTATGATGGAATGGTGCTAAATTTACGGGACATGCTCGTTCCATTGTGCTTATGTTTCAAACTAAAGCCCTGAAGAAGAAGAAGAAGAAGAAGAAGAAGAAGAAGAAGAAGAAGAATGCTAT